GAGGTTTAGATTTCAATTTTGCTACTTCTCGAGATTTTTCTGGATTGATCTGTTTAATGGAGATTTACTGAAATATCTTTAGCAAGCGCTGGAGGCTCTTAAAGAATTCAAATCAAAATTTCCGAAGACATCAATTAAGGCTGGTACCTCGATGATCTTAACGAAACAAAAAGATGGTAATTTGAGAATTGAATACGAGGTAAAAGTAATAAAAGAAATAGATATATATATATATATACGCAAAATCATTTATCGCGTTGATACTTGTTTAAATAGGGAAGGAGTTTTGGAGTCATCGAAAGCCCATGGCTGGCTAAAAGTTTATTTATGAGTTATTTGGCTGCAAACAATCCCATTTCCAAGGAGGTATTTGGTTGTTTTTTCTTCGACTGTGGCATCGTTTCCATAATTCAATCAAATTTTTGATTTTTTTATATTATGCACATTAGGCAAAAGAAAGTATTGCTGAGGGATTTGAAAAGATACTGGTTAATGATTAAAGCTTCAGTATGTTTATAGTCACGTGCTGGATCTTTATAATCATAAAATTGGGCGTACTATTTATTTCGTGTTAAATCTAGAACTTTATTATTTTTTTTTTCACAAAGTACTGGGATTTTTTTTTAAAAAAACTTATTACTAAAATAAATTAAAAAACAAAATGCCGAAAGGCTACAAATAATTCTTTTGGAACTTAATTTGGCTATTTTAATGTTATCTTTTACCTGGTCGCGTTATGAACATCCTCGGAAGATTACGTAACGGTATCACGCCTGATATGATCATTTGACACGTATAAAAATAATATTACAAACGGAAACATATACACAGAGCGTTGGCGAGCCGAGCATGTAAATCAAGTTCTTTTTCATATGAGCACGTGAAAATATGCCAATGGTTTAGTGGCAAGTCACCCATCTTCTGGAATTTTAAATCGAAAATCAATGCGCAGTATATGCATGACTGCGCTCAAGTCGTAACATACTGTTTCCAAATCAAGATTGTTTGGGCTTTTCACCTTGGCTCAGCCATTGAAATAATTGGCACAATGCTCAACCTAATCTTTTCCTTTTGTATTTTTGACCCGAGCTAAACTCCTGATGGAAATTTATCATTGGGCACCGTTTTCGCGCATGTATGGTAGCAGGATTTTATTATTATTAACAATCGTGAAAAGACGGTAAGCTTATATAATATGATTTTGAAGCATCGTATTACTATTGGTTTCATTTAATCATACTCTTTTGTTAAATAATGTATTTTGCCGTGAACTATACTATACACAAAGGAATATTATCAGTGGTCTTGATCTTTCGCAGTAGCAATTCGGGGGTGATCGTAAACAGATAACCGGAATTTGAATGAACCTTCCGATTTCACTCTTCGTGAATTTGGATCAACGCATGCACGTATGTTCATTAGGTACAGTAAGTGCATACGTACGTAAGTTTTCTTTGTTGAGCCCATAAAAATTTTGTATAGGATTGACTGAAGGGGGTATTGTATGGTATAAACAAAAAGATATTTATTTACTATTTCCAAAATTAGAAATTGTTACTTGGGGTAGGCTAGAAATAACGATTGTTATTACGTATTGAGTTGTTCGGGTATCATATATATCCAATAAATTTCGTCAGTATTATCGGAGAATCAGGTACAGCATGTAACAGAAAGGGTCAGAATTATGGAGGGAAAAATATTATTGGGATGCAATGGTGTATATAATAATCCCGTTTCGGCCTGTCCTGTCAAGAGAGATCCTTTAGATAACGCGCAGGTAAATTAATTTTACAGATTGTTACACATTTGTAATTATTATATACTCTTTTTATATATACCGAAACGGAAAAAATTTTACTGAACAATACTATCTGCGGTACATCTTTTGGTTGTTTGTTAAAAAGCCTAGAAAAAAAATTTTTTTTTTTTTGTTTAGCCAAAACAACGTTTATTATCACCATACGAAAAAGAATTTTTTTTTTTTTTTTTTTTTAAACAATAGCAGGTATTCACTGATAAATAGGTTTCGATAGTTTTTTTTTTACTGGATACAAGCATATAAATCAGATTCATCCTACCCTGCCTTTTTTTTAAAAAAAACAAAAAACAAAAACGAACTTGACTTTCTTTACAGAACAAATTTATCTTGAACAAATTATTTTTATCGATCAGAGTTATGTCTTTCCTCGCAGATTTCGAACCTGTTCTCATACACTCACCCTTCGAACGTTCGCAACAGCGACAAAAAACCGAATCATCGTCTCCTCCCAATACAACGCCCTCGATGGCCCAAAAGAATGATAAAGACAATAAGAACCTGTTTTGGCGAAGGAGCAATGAAACTTCAAATTCTTCCACCCTTCACGAGCGAACATCTGGAAGGGATAAACTAGTTATGTTCTTAATGTTGCCGGGGATTCATGGATTTTGATTACACACCACAAACAATGAAAATAATGATCCCTTTGACTCTTTACACAGTCTAAGAAATTCTCGTAGGAGAGATTCACAAATGAGTTTTCCGCTCATTCATTATGACCTTTTATCCTCATTCATTCGTTTTATCACTTAATTTTATCATATCTTAATTCATATTTTTCAAAACATCATTTTCATTATTTAGAATTAACACTTTAAATTTTTTTTCTATTGACATTTTCTTCACCGACTGTTTGATTTGATATCTGTTATGGTGCAGAAAATGGAGTTGAAGAAACTTCTTTCTTTCTTTTCGAAAATCAATTCATATATCAGTTTATTTTTCCGATGTCTAATCATCAATACTTTTACATTTATCAATCCCAACAATCTTTAATAGAGGTATCCATCAGGCATCACTTGTAAAAAAAAAAAAAAAAAAAAAAAAAAAATGTTTTATTGTGATTAATATTGTGAATAAAATAATCCAATGGCGTCTTGAAATTTCTCCATCGTGTATAAACAACACAAAATATATTATTCACGTGATCGTGGATCATTAAGATGAAAGATAAATCCTGTTTCCAATGCTTTGGGAGGCTAGCCCATTTTACGTCTCCACGATAGATAATCTTCTATGTCAAAATGTAAGAAAACCTTCTAATATAAAAATGAGTCGTGATCGCTTACATGTGATGATTCACGGGCCCCTTTTTTAGCATTGCTTTTAAAAAAGGAGATGATTTTTATATATATAAAAAAAAAAATGTTTAACGCAATAATAGTTCAGTTGTACTCAAATTGATCATAGTTTCCACCCAGAAAAAGTATCCAGCCTTACTTTTCATGTACAAGTTACTTTTTTTTTTTAATGAAAAAAACTTTTTGATTATCAACGCAACCAAATTCATTTCATTGCATTACAAAGAGCGTGCAAGTAGCATGATCATACTAGATAAATGTAAAAAAAAAAAAAAAAAATTTTCGAGATTATTGTTACTAAGCGCTATTGTTTCTTGATTTATTGTTTCATTGATGCATCAAATTGGTACGAATTGATTTAATGTCGAACTTTATGATTTTTTTTTTAAAAAAATAATATCAATATTTGAAAATTTTTAATAATTTTAAAAGGCAATAAATATATAAAGTACATTATACATACAGTATATATGTCTATTAACATTTATTTTATTTTATTTATTTATTCCATATTTATCCTATTAATAATTCATAAGTTGTCATTAAAATCAATTGAATTGTGAATAATATAATAGACAGTATAAACAGTATATGCAGTATTTAAAAAAATAATATTTTTTACGAGAATGTCAAGATAAGCATAATATTTTTTTATATAATTAAATTGTTTTAGTTTTTAATTACAAAAAAAGATTAAAAATCATATTTTTTTATATTATAATTAAATTTATTTATAAAATCAATCAATTAAATATTATAAAATTCAATATTTAAGAAATGATAAATAAAATATTTTTTATTATCAATAAAGAAAAAAACCTTATAAAGTTAAAAAACTTTTATTACTTCAAATCATATCAATTATATAATAGTTATAATAAATTATAATTAATTTAATTTAATTTAATAATAAGAATTTAAATTTTAACAATAAAAAAATTAATATTCAATAGATGTATCTATTTATATTGAACTGTAATAACAATAATTACATAATTATAATAAAATTTGTTAGATTATTTGATATTGTATATTTTAAAAAATCAAAAAAAAAAAAATTATAATTTGCAAAAATTTAATTTATTATTATATTTATAATAATATTTAATTAATATTTAATAATAATAAAAAAAACTTTATAAAACTATTGAAATTCAAATAAAATTAATTATATTTGAAACATATCTTTTATTATCAACAATATAATTAATTTTAACAATTGTAACTTTATAAAAATTACAAATAATAATTATATACTTTTAGAATTTTATATTATTCAAATTAATTTTTTATACAATTTCAACTTTTAAACTTATAATATAAAATATTACCGTATACCACTGCATATAATACCTCCCCAAATACTACCTCCTACTAATAATACCAGGTAGTATTCAAGAAAATTGTTGTTTGATAATTGATTACTACCCGGGTATATTAATATAATAATAAGTAAGACTAGTATGTATTTTGAATTTTATAGTAATAATATACCCTGCCACTAATACTACCCCCCTCCTAGTAAAATACCCCTCCCGGGTATTAATCAATTTATTAGGGGGTAAATTGATTAATACCCGGGGTATTGTATGCAGTGGTATATGATAATATGAGAAAATAATTAATTATACAATCAAATAACAATAAAAAAATTTTAAACAAAAAAAAAATCTTTAATTTTATATTATAAGAAATTATAAAAAAACTGAATAAAATAAAAATTATAAATAATTCTTAATTTAATCAAATTTAAAATTCATAGAACCTATTTAATAAAATTATTTTTTTACAATTTTAACAAACTATATACAATTAGAAAAATTTCTAAAAGTATTTAAAAAAACAAAAAAAAATTAATAAATAAACTCCTGTTTAAATTACAAATACGTAATAAAAATAAATTATTTATAATATTTATATTAATAGAAATCTAATAAGTTAAGTTAATTTTTTAATATATTAAAATTATAAATATCATCAAAACCATTTTAACAAAAACTTGAAACAAGCTTTGTTTATTTAAAACAAATAAAAAAATATATTTACAAATTTATACAATTAATTAAAAAAACATATATTAGAAAAAAAAAGAAAATTAATTAAAAAATTATTAAAACAATATAATTCAAATATATTGATCTTAAAACCAATTATTAAAAAAAATAATTTAAGTTATATATGTGATAAAATTAAATTCAAATATTTTTTAAAAATTATGTTATATTAAAATTATTAAATAATATATAATAAATAATTAAAAATCATATTTAATTCAAAATTATATTATTAATTAAATTTCTTTTTATAATAATAAAAAATATATAGTTCAAGTATTAATTAATAATTTTAGAAACAAAATAATAATTAACAGGATTAAAATAATCAATAAATTAGAAAGAGAGTACTTAATTATAAAGAAAAAAATTTTTTATATCAAATCAAATTCTATTAAAAAATTTTTAAAAAACAAAATATCAATTTTAATCTTCTTAATATATAATAAAAAAATCAATATAAATTTAAAATAAAAATAGTAAATTTAATATAAATCAAATATTGTTATGAATCAGATACCTATCAATAGTAATGACAAAATTCTTGACTTTATAATACTTCAACAGGAGTATTTAATATAATAGAAGGATATAAAGACAAAAAGAGATATAGATTTGATAAGTTTATATAATTTGATAGTTTTATTGATCAAAACAGTATAATAAGTATAATTATTTTAATTAGTAAATATATTTTTTTATTAATTAATTTTTCACTTTTTTTTTTTACTACATTTTCTTATAGCAAAAAAAAAATAAAAGAATTAAAAGAAAAATTTGAAATAAAAAAAATATTTGAAATAAAAGAATTAAAAAATAAAAAAATAAAAAAATAACAAGGTTGAATGTTAATTATTCATTTTAACAATCTTTATAATATACAATTGTCACTTTTTAATTTTTAAGCCATATTATTAATTGCTGTTTTCTTATAACAATATAAAATACTCAAAAACTTAGTTTTTAAAGTAACAAAAATACTTTGCAACTTTTATAATTTATTTTTAAAACATAGTACAGAGGGTGATCACAGGTATCAGAACGGTTATGTTTTTATTTATTATTTACATATTTTAGTTTACACGTAGTATA